ATACATACAATTATTTTCTTCAGGGCATTTTGCTAGGTGAGGAACAACAGATCTTCCTGTAAGAGGTCTGTCTTAAGAGCCTTCTCCCAGTGAGTGTGCAAGAAACACCCTTAGTATAGAGACTAGAATACAGAAGCTTATAGACTTGAATGGCTTCTCAAGCTCCTTCAGGTCAGAACTGACAATCCTCTAAAACACATCTCTCCACATTTGCACTTAGTTACTGAGGCTTGATCTGCCCCTGACATGAAATAAAAATGATCTGCAAGATGTCATCCATTTCTAATCTGGAGACACTGTGCAAACAAAAAAGATACATTATAATAACTTTTAAAATCTCAAGAAAGAATGCTGATGTTTTTTCCTTTACAGTAAATTACATTTTCATGCCCTCGTTACAAACATTTTAGATTTAGAAATGGGGTAATTGGGCAATTCAGTTGGCTAGATAATCCACTATAGGGAAAGAACTGGAGTCAAAAACACATGAATAGACAAGCCTTTATGTGGCAAATGCACATCTGATAAATTCTCATAGTATTAACAAAACAAGGAACTATGAAAAAGCACTGAGCGGACATGAGAACCCTGACAACAGCTAGGTTCAAAACTACAAGAATAATTATGCCTGCCTTGTAGGTCAGGTCCCCACTAGGGAGTGCGTGAGGGGCAAGCACACATTGAAGTTTCTCTCTCTTTCTCTTTCTCCCTTCTTTACAATATGCTGGGAACAGCTCTGCCTGGTTTCAGGAATTGTAACTACCCCCATGGCTAAGGATGAGTGAATAACCTCAGGAATGCCAAGCCACAGGAAACAAGGCTTGTCTCTGGTAGTGAACGCTGCTTCAGTTTCCTCACCCTGCCCCCAAAGCATGATCAGAAGTCAATGACAGGTAAGACCCCTCACAGAGAGATGGGCAACCTAAGCCAGACTCGATCACTTGGTAGGCCATCATGGAAGGACTTGGGGGGGCTGCAAAAAAGTGCGAGCAGTAGACCCTTTCCCACCTAGCTATGTGACATAGCCAGAGTCCCCATGTCCTCTGGGAGAAGCACTTCCTGGCTTTTTATTCACTCAAGCATGAAACCTGATGGAGAGTGGTGCAGCTCCTTGCCTTGCTAGAGCAGATCCGGGGAAATCTGGCATAAGAAAAATTCCTAAAAATCCTGGGAAACCTGCTCTGCTAAGAGTGCTTTCATTCATATGTTAAGGGTTCAAGCAGGAAATGAGTATATCTCTTAAAGCTTCTGCAAACCCCCTGTTCTGAAAGACACTCAAACTAAGTCTTGAAATTTTTTTGAAATGTTATCTACTGTTTGAACCTTGCCGCCCTGTATTCCTGTGTATTACAACCCAATATAAACCCCTGGAGGATGGGGCTTAAGGTCTTTATCCTCTGAGAAACTGGCCACCTCTCCTCCCCAAGCAGATCATGTCTTGGTAGTGTTTACTTTCATCCGTGGTGGGTGGGAGGACTTGTGGAAAAATTTGCCCCCAACAACAATATAAAAACAAAAAAATAAAACTTTAAAGAAACAACTCAGGACCAGATGCATGTTCCATCTGAGATGCAGGCATAGGAATAAACCCTTCACTCCTCACACAACCAAGAGGAGAATAACAACCCAACTAAAATCAATAAACAACCAGAAGTGCTACAAAATCAAACTGCACAGAGCTCTGACAATCAAGGAATTGAAGACACAGTCAACCAGACCAAGCCTACCAGTAAGACAGGCAGAAGGACAGAACCCATACTGCTGCTTTGTAATGCATGGGCAGGGCATGCCTAGAGAAAAGTGGTGTAGTAATGGACTGTGTGGGTGGAACTGGATGAACAGGATACTGAGAATCAGACTTGACTGTGAAGTATGTTGGGGGTTGCCTTGGTGGAAGAAACTCTGAATCTCACAGGAAAGTTCCTTGGAGAGTGGGCTAGAACCGAGAAGGTCACCTCCATTTTCCCTCTCTGGCTCCTCCCACACAGGGAGAAGGGGCGGAGATGGGCTGACACATTGGAAAGTTTTGGCTTGCGAGGCGTTAGCTGCATTAATGGGCAGGAGAGGCAGTGGCAGGTGGACCAGGTGAAGCAGCGGGTAGTAGAACTAGTGATCCCACATTTTTGTGTGGATAAACCAGGAGGAACTTCTCAGGAGGGAGACAGACCACGCAAACCATGGTTCTAGTGTGAGAAAATAAAGCCTCAAAACCATTCACTGCAAATACCTGTGGGGGTAGAGGTGTTGGCAGAAATTCCCAGACACACAGGAGGGTCCATTGGAGTGACCCACGGGGTTCTAGAACAAAACCACCCAAACAGGAATCAGCAATGGAAGGGTTTAATTTGCTGGTGGGTATTAGAAGAAGTGACTGAAAGCAGCCGAGAGTTGGGCAAGAAGCTTTGGTTCCTCTCAAACCCCTCCCCAACATACAGCCCCACCACAAAGAGATGTGGATTGTCCCTGCCCTGGCAAAGAACAGAGGCTCCACACCTCACTACATAACTGGTGCTCTGAGAAAAACAAACTACTAACCTGAATGAAAGAAGAGATCAGAGCTCCAGAAAAAGTACAAGTAAGTGATGAAAAGATAGCTAACCTATCAGATGCACAGTTCAAAACACTGGTAATCAGAATGCTCACACAAGTGGTTGAGTATGGTCATAAAATGGAGGAAGAAATGAAGGTTATGCAAAGCAAAATAAATGAAAATGTACAGGGAACCAACAGTGGCAGGAAGGAAACCTGGACAAAAATCAATAATTTGGAACAAAAGGGAGAAATAAACCTTCAACCACAACACAGTAAAGAAACAAGAATTCAAGAACACGAGAAGAGCCTTGGGCACATCTGGGAGAATTTTCAACATTTCAACATCTGAATCATAAGGGTGCCAGAGAAAGAGGAAGAGCAAGAAATTGAACACTTATCTGAAAACAGAGGTGAAAAAGAACTTCCATAATCTAGAACAGGAAACAGATTTCCAGGAAGACCATGAAGGTTAGAGACTCCCAAGGAATTTGGACCCAAGAAAGCACACACCAAAACACATCATAATTACATTAACCAAGATCAAGGATAAGGAGAGAATCTTAAAAACAACAAGAGAAAAGGAGGCAGTTACCTCTGAGAGAGTTTCTATAAAACTATTAGCTGATTTCTCTAAAAATTCATAGAGTCAAGAAGAGACTGGAAAGAAGCATTCAAAATCATGAAAGTCAAGGACCTACAGGCTAGATTACTCTACCCAGCAAAGCTATCATTTAGAATGGCAGGGCAGAGAAAGCGCTTCCCAGAGAAGATCAAGTTAAAGCAGTTCATCAACACCAAGCCCTCATTATATCAAATGTTAAAGTGACTAATTTAACAAAAAAGAAGATAAAAAAATCTGTACAGTAAAATAATAAACTTACAACTCTCAACAACTGAACCTCAAAAACTAAAAGAACAAACTAAGGGAACAGCTAGAACAAGAATGCATTCACGGAAATGAAGCTCATATTGAAGGATATCAGTAGCAGGGAGCAGCATGCAATTAAAGGTACAGGGAATAAGAAGCATATATGTTAGGTACAAAATACACGAAGAGAGCTTAAGTATAGTATAGGAAATGAAGAAGCCAAAGAACTTATATATAACCCATGGACATGAACTAAGGTGGGGGAATGCTGGTGGAAAGTGGAGTACAGGGAGGAGAGGAATAATAGAGACCAAAAAAGGGACAGCTGTAATGGCATAATCAATAAAAGGCAGATATAAGAAAATGAGAAGGAAATTCTCAAAGGATGCCACAGGTTTTAAAATTCATGAAAAAGAAAACAGTATGAACAATTACATACTAACACATTTGATGATCTAGATAAAATGGAGTTTTGTCAATAACATAGAGCTCCCCAAAGCTCAACCAGAAAGAAACAGAGAAAGTCTACGGAGCAACTCCCAGCAGTGAAAGTGAAGCCATAATCAAAAGTCCCAAAAAACAACATCCCAGGACCAGATGGTTTATTAGGTGAACTCTGCCAAATATTTAAATAACTATTAGTACATTTTGTCTCCAAACTAGGTTTTTAAAGAAAGAGATACACAGTGGAGAGAGTGTGTGAGTCCTTTGTCACAGTGACTTCATGTGTAAAGCAGTGAGAAGGTATTAGGGCCTCATCTTGGGGGAATCCTTCCATAAATCTTCCCTTCCACTGTGCTTTCATCCCCAACCTAATACATTTTGTCTGTCTCCTGGGGTCGCTTCCTTGCATGGCATGTGGGTGTAGACCCAGTTAATAGCCAGATGGCAATTTGACATTATTCTCATCCTGTCTGGCAAAGAATCCACTAGAAAAATGGGAACAGGTGGATATGTAAAAGAGCAACAGAGGCATTGAAGAGAAATCATTTAGTCTCTCAGAAAATGTGATGCCTGTTGGAGAGGTAGAAATATCACCAAGTTTTGTCATCCCTAACACTTTATGCTGTATTCCCTGAGTGACTGCATGTCCATAAGGTTAAATGTGCAGATTGGCCCATGATCACATCAACATGGTTGGAATTAGGAAAATGGAATTTGCCACTACATCTGATAGGGATTTGACATCCAAAATTTATAGAATGTAGAAAATTAACACCAAAACAGAAACTATCAAATTTTGAAAAATGGAAAAGAGCATGAATAGACACTTCTGCAAAGGGGGCATAACAGGTCAATAGACATATGAAAATATTCTCAATATCAATAATCATTAGAGAAATACAAATTAAAAACTCATATTAATGGTCAAATGGCTTGTGTTTAGAGGTGTTTCCTCTTGATGCAACCAAGCTTACACAGTGATTTGCATAGTAAATTATTAACCAAAGCATTTTCTTTAAAAAATTGTGTTTATTTACTTCTAGAAAGAGGGGAATTGAGAGAGAAAAAAAGGAATGGCAACATTAATATGTGAGAGATCATTCATCTGTTGCCTCTCAAGTGCTCCCAAAATGGGACATAACATGCATCCCAGGTATGTGCCAGCGAACTTCAGGTTCACAGGGTAAAGCTCACTACACTGAGTGACACCAGCTAGGACAAGAAAATCCTTTATTAATTATTTATGATGTCATAAGTTTTAAAGTGGCATTTAAGAACATTATTCACAATTAAATTATTAATACATAGTATCATAAATGAAAATTACTACTTTTTAAAAATGCCATTTCACATTTATTATTCCAAACACATTTTGAGTCAAGTCCATTTTAATCTCAGTATTTCAGATAAAAAATCACAAAATGCAAGTTTTAGACATTAAAATGACCACCTAGTTTAGGCACTTCCAAAATTTTAGACTCAGAAGTATATACACTTTCATCTCTATATATCCTCTATGAATGTACAAATAAACTCAAGGAGGCTTTGGCTAAACCTGGAAAAGAAATGAGCTATCTGACCAGTGTTTCTAATCAGGTTTTATGCAAGTGACTATGTGGAACTTGACTGTACGGGGTCTAGCCGCATGTCCTTTTATGGCACAAACCACTGATGGTGAAGATACTGGTGATGGACACCACAGTGGAGCCAGCACCTGAAATGAGAACAAATAGAAGAAGACACAAATTAGGATTGACTTGGAGCAAATCTAGGATTCTGCCATGCCTTACTCACTCACAAACTAATGCTCTCCAATTAAACCTATGTTCTGTAGAAACATGAGGTTTTTCTTCTGGATACAAAAGTCACTCCCTTTTTATATGGTCCTGTGTTCCATCCTGATCCATCCCACTAGTCACCATTCAAAAAATGTCACCAGATGCAAAAAAAAAAACTATGGAAATACCATAAGAGACATACGGCAAGGGATTTCAAATAATGAATCTTACAATTTCCTGGCTCTTCTACTGAAACAGGTAAACAGATTTTATTCTGCCCTCTTCGATAGTGTTCCAAGTTGTCTTAGAATGTGTTTGCATTAGCAGGTGTATAACATATGGCTTTCAAAATGAAGCATATTCAAAATCATATGAAAAATCTGAATGGGCCTTGGAAATTTGGCTGTTTGTGTAAATGCCTTACCTGGCCACTGCAAAACATCAACCAGGACCCCTAAAATGGCAAGACAAGTTTCTATAAAGTAGCTTTTCATGTTCTTCTTGAAACTCATAATGGCCACAGGTAAATAAGCATAAAGAAAAGTAATTTATGAAAAGTTGAAATTTATGAAATACAACAACCACAGTTAGGCTAGCTGCATATTCGGCAGAAAATGCATAAGAAAAAATCTGCCATGACTTATCTATTTAAGTCATCTAAAATTAAACAAGGTTTATTTTTCACCATCCATTTTTTAGACATGCAAACTGTGCCTTATAAAAATATGAAGACACTCCCATGACACAAACTAGATGTTGGCAGAGTCACCTTGAGCCAAGGAAATGACCAGTGCTCACTTTCAGAAAAACAGGTCTGCAATGTGTTGTTATGTGTTGTACCATAAAAGTCAGAACTCATGAAATCATGTAAACAATGCTTGTTAATAGGAAGATTCCTGTCATACAAGACATTATCTCAAACAATTAAACCTGAAATGAGGCAGTGGATGAACAAAAGCTGAATGAAGTATGCATATATATAAAGCAGCCTGGAAAAGTATAATCTTTAAGTCTGTTTTGCTGGAACTCACACAGGGACATTCAGATGAATTTCTCAGTTGGACCCTAGGGGCACAGAAGCAGGAACACTGATCTGCTATCTGATTGCTCCTGTAGCAGTTGTTCCACTCAAATCCTTGAGGCTCTCATGATGCCTATAGGTTTCTTTTTAACCATCTTTCAGAAAAGCAAATTTTCTTCCTTCCCTGCAAAGACTGCCAGGAGCCTCATAACCAACAAAAGTACCAGGATTCTCTTGTGGGCTTTCACTACTTTTGCAAGTCAATTCCAGTTCAAGTAACAACTAGAATCCATACATGCCTCCTTCGGGTGTGACATTGCACTCAAAATCTCGATTACAAAGCCAATATCAACAACTGGTCTTGTTGCATTTATGCAAAAACACCTTATGTCATCATTCACTCCCTCACAATGCCAAATTCTAAAGGTATCAGAAAGAAACAAAAAGATGAAGTATGAAGAAAAATCTTTTTCCTTGTTCACTTTCCAATGAAGAATGGAAATTCAACCTTCCTTGGAATCCTTAGCTTCCTTTTCAGTGCAGAAACAAAGAAAAATTTAAAACAAAAAGTTCTAGAACAATAGACAGGAAGAGACATTCCCTTGCACAAAGGTGCCCATTAGAGCCCTGCAGAAATATGATTCTTCCAGCCATGTCTCCTGGCAGAGACATGCTGCTTTTCCTCGCCCTGAAACAACACTCAGACGCAAATGACCATTCCTGGGTCCTGAATGACAAACGCGTTCTCACTATCTGGTCAGATGTGAGCTTTCCTAGGTTTCCACATACACACGGGACCTGACTAGAAACAGAACAAACGAAAGAGACATGCTGCTTTCCCACAGGTTGAAGGTATAATCAAACCTGATGAGACTTCCTGGGTCACCAGTGGCAAAAACATGCAAGCCAACAACATACAAGCGACCTCTCCTAGGTCGGAATGTGATCCCACCTTTCTTAGGGGTCACATTACAAAAGGTTTCTGATCAGAAACAAAACCAACGTAAACTTTGCTCTTTTTACAAGAAAACAGAAAACAAAAGGTTCACATTTTCTCTACTCCAGGTTTAAAACTGTCACATCTCTTACACACAATGTTACACACCAAGATTTAACCATCGTTCACTTTTAATCCCGGTTTCTTTCCCACATAGAAAGGACTATATTTTAACTAAGTACTAAGCCACAGTATGTGCCAGTAAAAATCCCTTAGAAGTACAGCTACCTTTCACAAGAAGTTTCAAGATTCACAAGGACATCCTGCAGCTTTCTGAAGCTTACAGCTCGCAAACACTCTATGAATCAGATGCTCACCTTTGAAGCCAAATTTATGATTTTCACAACCGCAGCAATTCCTATCAGAACCAGTTTCACAGAGAACATCAGTGATGTGATGGCCACACTGCAGTAGCTGAAGCCTGCTCTCTGAAGAGAACGCTCAGCCAACCCGCTTTCCTGATTTCAAAATAGAGGCGCCCAAGCACGCCAGGTTGTCCAACATGGCAAAGAAAAGTACCCTGGGGTGTGGAAGATGGTGACACCCGAAAAAAATAGTTCACAAGTAAGGGCCATGGCCATACTTGATTCCCGTCCATAAACAGGCATTCACATGGCTCACCCTCCATTTTACGCAAAATGGTTTACACCCCCTATACAGAAAGTGACACGACACTTGAGTAACTCTCCATATGCAGAAATTTGGGTACCACTGGCAGAGTAAAAGTGCAGGTCGCAGTCCCTGACTTGATGGTCCATCACCAACATACTTGTAGGCTTTGGTTACAGAGCCTAAGGCTTCCCTTTCTCCCCAAAACCTGAATACAGCTTCCCTTACTGCCACCTGGAATCACCAAGTATTCAAGTGAAAAGACAGGAACTACTTGGAAACAGCATGGAGAAAAAAAACATGATCCAAAACTCCATTATTGAAAAATGGTGCCGAGGAACCAAGTGTTCAACCAAAATTCCTTCACGTCTCCGCTCCCTCCCCATTTCCTTTACTTCTTGCCTTTCCTAGCCTGATTAGGTGACCATTGCCCTCGGGACTGCAGAGATCTGATGGAGACTGGGAAAAGTCAGAAGGCTCACACAATCGCAACTGAGAGGTTAATACTTTAACATACAATTATTGTCCCACGAGAGTTTCCCAAAAAGCTTACAGTAAAAAGAGCTAGCATAGAGGGCCAAGGAGGGTAGACCTAGACTGTAACATGAAGTACCTTTTCTGGGCTACACTGTCTGCCACCAGAGAGGAAAGACCACCCTCAATGGCAGAGATTTGTCCATAGGAAAGGTAAGGTCTATTAACTGATATACAGACTTGAAGTAGTGACCTAACGTCTTCATTGATATATGACAGATTTGTGGATCCCCACAGATCCCCACTGTGCTGCCTTAACGCCCTGTGCTCATTCAGGGTACCATATCTCTGGCAAAGAAGCACCCATTGGTGTTTCAGGCCACTGACACCATCAGCTGTGCCCCCGTCAAGGAAGGGTCTCCAATGAATCCAAAGTCCTAGGGCATCATCTCATGGCCCACTGCCAAGGGTTCTTTCACCCTCCATCCAGGTGAAGTGTCTCCTGGCCCCCAGGCCCCATGGCCAGAGGGAGCACCCCAAAGCCACCAGGTGCTCTTATACTCAGGCTGCAGGTATCCCCACTCTGATATAACCGCATGGTACCTCTCTCCATCACAGCTGCGTGGGTCCCCACTCCACTCGAAAGTGTGTGGCTCTCTCCCTGCACTGCCACAGCCACGTGGGTCTCCCTCAATGGCTGCCGGGTGTGGGTTCAAATCCCCCTTCCAGTCTTCTTCTGTACCTCCTTTTCCGACACAACCTGCAATCCGTGACACCTGCCAGCATCCACGTGTTACTCCCAGTTTAATGGTTGCCATCCTGAGTGTGCACAGGTGTGGCCCCACATTACGGAGCCAATCTTGTCTCACCTCTCTCTTACCCAGGCGCTGTCACCTAGGCTACCTGCCCCCAGTTACATCTCAGGGACAAGTCCCTTCCCAGCCCACTTGCTTGGGCGATGGCCACAGCTATTTCACCTATCTGTGCAGCAAGAGAAAGGTTCTACATGTGTTTGCTAACCATGCTGTGGATTAGCTGCAAAGCTGTGGCTGTACTAAACAGCTCTGTATGTTCCTGCTGCATGTGTCCCTTTACTCAAGGCACACCTGAGTGAGAAGGGAGGGGTGAGCCCATCTCATCTGCCTTTCTTGTCTTTCTCATATCGTCTGGACACCCTGAGACCAGGGCCCCATTCCAAATCCCTATTTGCAGTCCCCTATGGCTACACCAGGTAGCAATCCCTCCCTTCAGATATGCAACCACTTTATAATCATATCAAGGGTCAATAATGAAGGTCTCATTCTTCTTGTAACTGCCTCAGGCCGGACATGGACATCGTCCTACCTACCCTTGGGACCGAGGTGCCCTCAAAGGAGGTGCCCTTCAGCACACAGGAAGTCCTTCCTGTCAGGAAAAGGACCTTTCAGAATCCTGGTCACGTGGCTGTCACCAGGAAGTCGAGGGCTTGGTGTCCAAGGGCTGGCTGTACTGGGCAGCTGGCATCCTTGTCCTATTCTGCAGGTGACACATTTGGAAAGAGAGCTGCAAACACCATGAAATCATAACCACTGAAAGATGAAGCCGGGGACTTAGGTTAAGCATGTCTCGTCTGGAGGAAGGAGTATGAGGCAGGCTACGCCTAGGCAAAACCCTTGTGTCCCACTCTACTTCACTCAGGCTGAGGACAATACATTAGGGTTTCCCTCCTTTCCGATATCTGCGCCCTTTCTGTCCAAACCATCAAGACAGAGAAGGGCAAATCAGTTTGAACGTGAAGCCCACGGACCTCCCGAACCCTTCCCCAACCCAACCGCTTAGTTCCCACACACCACTGAGTCTCAGGGGCGCCATGACCGAGACGGGCTCCTCACCTGAGGCCTCGATTGCAACCAATCACTCAGGGCATCAGGTCGTCCGTATACACCCTATGAAAAATGAAGGACACACAGGTCAATTCACACAACCATCCCCGACACAGTCTCTGGGCCAGTGGGCCTTTCTCTTGAAAAGACATGCAGTTTCAAGGCCCTCCTCTCAATGACACTTAACAATAGCCATTTGGCAGGTCCTTTGCACCTGTCCATGGTCCATCTCTGGTGATATTACGATCCCGGTTTCAACCTTCAAATGAAAGCAAACTTTCAACACAGGTACACGAGCCACTCTGAGGTCCAATATTGAGCATTTGGATTGTCCTTCAACTGCCATTTTTCTCCTTCAGATCACCCTCCATGGGGTGATTATTCAGGGGACTAATTTGGATCCGCTTTGAAATTTGACTGTTCCTAGACTTGGACACACCAAGGGCAGCCTGGATCACCTAGGATCTTTTAGTCTCCTTTGCTGGAACTCACACAGGGAAACTTCACACTGACTTCTCAGTCCGCCCCTAGGGGCACAGAAGCAGGGCCACGCATCTTCTGCCACCTGGCTGCTCCTGGACCACTTGTTGCACTCAAAATCCTTGAGACTTCCATGATGCCTATAGCTTTCCTTTTACCCATCTTTCAGAAAAGCAACCTTCGCTCCTTCCCGGCAAAGACGGCCTGGAGCCGCATCACCAACCAAAGTACCAGGCTTCTCTTGTGGTCTTTTGCTAGCTTGGCAAGCCAATCCCACTTCTGCTAACAACCAGAATCCATACATGCCTCCTTCGGGTGTGACATTCCAGTCCAAATCTCGCTTACCAAGCCACTATCAACCACTGGTCTCCTTGGGTTTATGCAAAGAAACCTTAGGTCATCACTCACTCCTTCAGAATGCCAAATTGTAAAGGGATCACGAAGAAAGAAGAAGACAAAGCATGAAGAGCCAAAATCTTTCTGCTTGTGCACTTTCCAATGCAGAATGGAAATTCATCCTTCCTTGGAATCCTCAGCTTCCTTTTCAGAACAGACACACAAAAATCTAAAGCACGGAGTTCCAGAACATTAGACAGGTAGAGGCCTTCTCTTGCACAAAGGCGCCCACTGTGGCCCAGCAGAGTCATGCTCCTTCAGGCCCTGTCTCCTGGCAGAGACATGCTGCTTTGCCTCGGCCTGAAACACTCCTCAGTCCCAAATGACCCCTCCTGGGTCCTCAGTGGCAAGGGCATTCTCCCCAATTGGTTACAGGCCACCTTTCCTAGGTCTTCAGATACACAGGGGTTCTGATTAGAAACAGAACCAATGGCAGAGACTTGCTGCTTTGCCTCAGCTTGAAGGTCTCATCACCCCTAATGATCCTGCCTGGGTCCTGAGTGGCAAGAGCATTGTTCTCAACTGGGTAGAGGGTTTTTGATCAGAAACAAAACCAACATGTGATATTGGCTTTTTTTCTCACAAAACTAGAAAACATGTAGTTGAGATTTTCTTTACTCTGGGTTTAAACTTTCACATCTCTTAATACACAAGTTTACACACCCACATTTAACCATCCTTCACTTTTACTACATCCTGGTTTCTTTCCACCATAGGAGGGACTATAATTTAACTAAGTACTGAGCCACTGTATGTGGCAGCAGAAAGCCCCTAGTACTACAGCTACCTTTTACACCAAGTCCCGAGGTTCACAGGGACAGCCTACAGCTTTCTGAAGCTTAGACCTTGCACACACCCTATAAATCAGATGCTCACCCTTGGGACCCCAGTGCGTCACTTTGAGAAGCAGAGCCAATTCCTATCAGAACCAGTTACACAGAGAACATGACTGATGCTGTCTGTGCCCACACAGCAGCAGCACAGAGCCTGCATCCTGAAGAGAACCCTCAGCCCACCACCTTGCCCCAGCTCCAAGATGGCAGCACCCAAGCAAGCAGTGCAGTCCAAGATGGCGACACCCTGGTCTCTTGGTCATCTAAGATGGACCAACACCTCATCCAGAATGGTAACCCCTAGAGATGGAGTGGACAAGACGGTGACGCCCAAGCACCACTGGGTCGTCTAAGATGTCCACGCCCCTGAATGACTGGTCCTGCTTACTGGGGCATTCACAGGTGGCTCACCCTCCATTTTACCCCAAATGTCCGCACCGCAACTCCAGTTCAGCCTGCAGGTGCTGCCAGTGGCACGGACTCTGGAGCCGCCCTCCACGTGCAGGGAGAAGTGGGCTTCACCAGGGGAGGAAAAGTGAGGGTCGCGCCCACCTGGCTTGCTGTCAGATCCCAAACATGCAAGCAGGCTCGGCTTACAGAGCCTAGGGGTTTGCTTCTTCCCCAAACCTGAATACAGCTTCCCTTACTGCCACCAGTGCTCCTGGAGAGTGCAAATGACATTTATAACTTTTAGAAACAGTTTTTTGCCTATTGGCAAATATCTTTACCTCTTGATTCAGCCCACCCAGTAAGTGGGACTACAAGCCCGCGCCACCACGCCTGGCGCACACCCTACCGCCTCCACCGCCTCTGGCTGTGAGAACTGCACCTGCCTGTCCCAGACGACACTCGGCTCAGAGAGCCCAGAGAGTTCTGCTCCGAGTGCCAACCAGAGAGAAAATTAGGGGGGGGGAACCAATCTCCACCTCAGGCTGCTGCCAGCTTGGGAGAGAGAGCCAGCCCGCACCATGCTTCCCGCCAGCGTGTGCATGCTCATGCGGGGCCACTGAAGCAGCAGCTGGTTTTAGTGGCCAGAGGAGCCCAAGCCAGTACGCACAGGCTTTAAGACGCTGTGCATAGTAAGCCGGTTTCAGCATTCCAAATATCTTGCTAGCAAACGGTGCGCCAGTTAAGCTCGGCTGCCGCCATTAAGGTCGCGCCCCTGGGCGTGGCTTCGCTCTGCCAGTCACAAACCAGGCTGTAAGGCAGCTGCCTCAGAATGGCCCAACCGCTGGCAGGGTCTTGCACAGGGGTCGCTGCGCTCTAGCGCCCACCAGGCTCCTCCCTGCACCCAGGTGGTGCTGGGCCTCCCAGGTGTCTGACGCGCCCCCGCGCGTTCTGCGCCAGCTGTGCTTGGCCCCGCCTCTCAGTGCAGGTCAGGGGAAATAGGAGAGAGCCGAGAACTGCAACCCCTCTGCTGCGCGATCCTTCTAGGGGTGCCTTGGAGAGCACGGGGGACGGGGGACGGAAGATGGACTGGATCCCTCCTGAAACTACCCTGGGTACGCGCTCTTTCCCAGTCAAAGAAAATCTTTTTTTCTAAAGTCCCTTTTACCGCAAAAAAGCGGTGAATCCAGTCGTTCTTTCTTCCCGCACTTCCAGATCTTATTTCTTGCTAGGGAACACAGGGTAGTGTGCCATAGATGTCCTGTTGGTGGAAATACCATCAGGAAAAGAAGCACCAAATTTCGGGAACTCCTCAGCCCCGCTTATGGGATTCGGGTTCACCTCCCAGCTGCCTAGACAGCTGAAAGGGCTCAGAGCTCTGGATAACCAGTCCATATAGGCGCTCCATATAAGGACCCACGGAGACCCAAGATTAACATGAGATGGAATATCCTATGAGGCCCCTTCATGTCTTAGAGATTGGACCCCAGATACCTCCACTGGATCCCCACTCATGTAGGGATACCCCATATCTTGAGTCGGAGGAAGGAAGTGCCTCTTCAGTATTTCGCTGAAACACTCATAAAATAGCTCAAACGAAAAGGGGTGGGGGAGTGCAAGGGAGAAAAAAACGCTCAAGGGGTGGTAAAAGTAACCATTTTTTTTAATCTCTGATACACCTGCGGGCCCTAACCAGAGTAGCCCCCATCCCTCTGGGGATGACATATTGAATTACAACTCTCTTAGGTGTGCATCCGTGGCATTGTGGCTCAAAACCTCTGGCAGATGAAGAAGGTCCCTAAACTGTAGGGACCCTGTCCAGGGCGCCACTTGTGGGGTGGACTTCTCCTGCAAGACCCCCCTTCCGTCCTCCAAGAATGAAAATAAACACTACTAGGACGTGATGGACTTGGGGAGGAGGGGTGGCCAGTTTCTCAGAGGAAAAATCCCTAGAGGTGGCCACTCTCTCCAAGTTAAAAAGCCTTGAGTCCCTTCCTCCAGGGGCTTTAATTGGGTTGTAATACACAGGAATACAGGGTGGCAAGGATCAAACAGTAGATAATATTTCAAAGAAACCTGAGGGCTTAGTCTGAGTCAGTGTATGTCAGGAAGAAAGTTTGCAGAAACTTTAGGGTTTCCTGCTTGGACCCTTAACACATGAAAAAAAAAACATTCTTAGCAGAGCAGGGTTTCACAGGTGTTTTTTGTGTTTAAACCAATTCTTTGTGATGCCAGATTTATCCCCTGATCCACTCTAACAAGGCAAGGAGTTCCAGGCCTCCCCATCAGGTATTCAGGCTTAAGTGGATTCCAGCCAGGAAGCACTTCTACCAAAGACCATGGGGACTCAGGCTATGTTACACATGTTTGTGTACTACTGAAATGAATTCCTTGCCTCACCTTTGGAAACAATTCAGACAGAGTTTGCCTAGAACAGGCTTTGTAAGAAACTTGCTTATTCCCAAGTGATTTAGAACGTTTCCAACAATTCATAATGGTTCCAAAAGAGAGATATTCACTCCCTTAAATGAAGGGGACCATTCATCTCCTTTTCATTTTGACATCCACAAACTGATTTGTCCAAGTCAGGTACTGCACAATACATGCATGTCTAAGCTTTCTCCTTATTTTCTACGAGACACAGTGCTTTTGAGGAATCTGTACATGACAGCTATTCTACTTTAAAGGTAACATGGTGTTATGCATCCTTTGAAACCTTTCAGAGAGAAAACATGATGTTAGCTGCTCTTTCATGCTCCAACTTACTGAATGTGACATTTCAGGAATACTTGAGAAGAAGTGAAAATGCACTCTGTATGAGCATTTTCCTTCAGCACAGCATTCCCTTCAGCTTTTCTGAAATGAGTCTATTTTCCTGGACTTATAAACACAGCCAAAGTTATTTGCTCAGAGCCAGTTGTTTTGAAACAGTGTCTTTCCAGCCTGATTTCGCAGGGTTCAAACAATTCTTTTCTATTTTCCCCAAGGAAAATGAACTGGGTGACATAAAGTCGACCATTCATTTCACATTCATGTCAACCTTCACAATACTGTTTAGTCCAAAGCACACCGTGGATTGCACTTGTATGTCTAATGTGGATATGCTTTTCTTTTGGAAAAATAAAGAAAAAATAGAAAATTCTTGTCATTCAAACTTCACATGGTCCTATGCTAGCGTTCACCAATTGGCTAGCAAGAAAGGAAACCAGTAGCCGATTCTTTCTCACTCATACCACAAAGTTGATATCTTAGGAAGATGCTTCAACTGAGTGCTGAAAAGAGATGGCACTTCTTGAGACACCACTCATTTCATCTTCTAGTCAAATGAGAACACGAATATGATGATGAGCAGTGTAGATGGCATTTGATGAGAACCCACTTTGCATGAAATATTGCTCCCCCTTGCGATTTAAAGAACTGAAAGCTCAGCAGTACTGTGTAA